AGCCACGAATAGGGAGATGGGGGGAGGAGGGGAGGGGAGGGGGCGGGGGGGAGGGGGAGGGGGGGGGAAGGCCGCGATACCCTGCGACATCGTGATCAGAAGCACATCCACATGATTTTCGACAGCTGGGGAAAGTTTGCAAATTCATCTACTGTATAGCTGGACTTGGCTTCAGAAGGCCACCTGCAGAACATTTAAATCTCTATAACCGGTAATAAAAATTACCAGCCACTGTTTATAGATTGACTTAGAGGCTTCTTTTAAAAAATAAAGAAGGAAACATTTCTTTAAAAGTCTAACCCTTAGATATATAAATAGCTTCTTTAGAATGAAGTGACTAGGTCGCCAAAGTCTAGTTGCCTTGAGAAATTATAGCAGCATCGTGACTGGCTTTTCCAGGAACCTCTTGAACTCTGCAAGCCACTGGGCTCCAACTGCTCCGTCCACAACACGGTGGTCACAGCTGAGTGTCACAGACATGACGTTGGCCACATCAAACCTGTGGGAAGAGGGGAAAAGACCCTAAAAGCGTATCCTTGCCAGAAAGGCAAAACTGGACTGACATATGTTTTCAGAAAAGTAGAAAAACAAGACACTTCCAAGAATCTGAAAATAAATAATTCATATTTTCCTAATAAAGAACATTAGGCTGGCGTTCCTATTCTTTGAACCAATTCCATTTTGTGGCTATTAGGTCCACTTCGCTGATTTGGTGCCACGCTTCTCTGTTCCTGATTTAATCAAAGACATAAACATCAAAACATTTAAAACAAATACTACAAAAAAGCCTAAATCTGTGTGTGTACTTTTGACTTCAGCCAACCAATTATAATTCATTATTTTACTTATTTTTAAACAAACTTGCATTCATACTAGCCACCTGTTTTAACAGTAACAATAATAAAAAGAGTATTACCCCTTCTAATTAAAGGTGGGCAAAGTTTCTGAATTCACAAAGGCTTTCCAGAAATTTTCTAGCTTTGAAATGGCTGTTTTGAGCTCAGAACACTTCTACAATAGTTTGAACACTTCAGGTCAGGTTGTAACCATTGTTTCAAATTCAAGAATATTTCAGAGTTGAAATGTTTTGCACGCTACTAATTTGAATATGGTGCATTCCTTTAAGCTTGAGCTAAAGTTTCATAAAAACTTAACTTGATTTCACAAGCCTGAGGTTTTCCTATCTCTGGTCTTAAATTCATTATTCATTAAAACATCTGTCCCTTTCACAACTGGAGTTGGGGGGGAAAAACCCTCTTAAATATTAAGTAAAGTGCAAGTTATAATTACCAAAGCAGCTGCTTATTATGTTTAGTATTTTCTCCTCCACGTTTTGATAAATATCCCCCTTTTCATCAGATGCTGACTTCCCACTGAAATATTTGTAAAAAGAAATATTTACCCTTTTTCATTATCTGCTGGGACCAGCCTTTTCTCAGATGCACCAACTGCCAAAATACAAGCCTGTGGTGGGTTGATTATAGCCGAAAAATTCTTAATGCCATACATTCCTAAATTTGAGACTGTAAAGGTTCCTCCCTGTAAAGAAACACACACCTTAAGGCTGCTTTACAAATCACTGGCGTTGCGGGTTGTGAACCGGGAAAGGAAAAAGCATCACCCTGAAAAATGCCATCATAATCAAGTCTACAAAACGTTTCCTTCGAAATGCCCGAGGGCAGTGAGGAGTTTAAGGAAGGCTGCTCACCTGGAACTCGTGGGGCTGAAGCTTGCCTTCCCGTGCTTTGCTTGCTAACACTACAACGTCTTGGTTAATCGAAGCCAACCCCTTTGTGTGCGCATTAAATACAATTGGCGTTATAAGTCCTGCTGGAGTACTGACCGCAACACTCACATCAACTACGTGATTTCTGAAAGACAGAAAGGGCGTCCATCTCTAACAATCCGCAAACCCTCACAAAATCAGGCTGAGCAAATACTGCAAGATGCTTCTTGTAACAACGTTCCAACCGGCCTCCTACGAGGAGCCAAACCTTCACCCCAGTGCACTTACTGCCTAATGACTGTATCCAACCATGAAGAATTCGCTTCAGGCACCTTTAAGCAAGCCAGAGCTGAAGCTTTAATAATGAAATCATTGACAGAAAGCTTGGTATTCTGTGGCATCTCCTGCAGAGGAACAGCCAAAGGAAGAAACACTGGTCAAATTGATCAATCCACAAAGTCATCAAAGAACCACTGTCCCCAGCCTGGGGAACCTCCAGAAACATAGGCTTCAACTCCCAGGATTTTCAGCAATGTCCCAGCTGGAAGTCCTCACAACCAGAAGGCACCCAAGTCAAGAACACCAACAGCCAGATGTACATAATCGTGTTGCCACCAGAAGTACAATAATTGTGATTACGCAACCAGAATTACTGAGCCGAGAAAACTATAGCACTCCATTCATTCTTTCTGTTCCCATGCTTTCCAAATTGAATGCGCACATTTTTCTCAAAGCCAAGTTGCTAGAAAGGAATGATTTTGTTTTACTGTTAAGCCCAAGGGCTTAATTTGATTTATGCTATTAGTAAGTATTACTTGCCCCTGCTTCTACTTATAAAACTTGTGTCTTCCTATGGAATTAGCCCTGAATCAATTATCTTTCCCTTACACTCTCCAAATCTCAGATTACAGATTCCTAGAAATGCAGACCTGTGGGAATATCCACAGCTAGCTATTTGGAAGGATGGAGAGTTAGATGCACATAATCTTCCAGTTTGCTTCGTGAATCAGCTTATTTTCAGGCAAACCAAGGAACAGCCATCTGTTGCTATCCTAACGAGCTAAAGCAGCACACCTCTCCACACAGCACGTTACCTGATTGAGTTCTTTTCTCAGCACCAATATTTCTCCCACGTCTATATCGATAGAGAGATAATAGTGAGGTATTGTTTGCTTAGACTGTATCAAACGCTGGGCAATCACCTGTAAGCAAAGACAGCAGGATTTGCGTAAGAAGCTAACATTACCTAAAATGAAGTTAACTGCTTTTAACATTGTTCTCTCAAAAGCAGGGCCATGCTAAAGCTGGGAACCTTAATGCAGCATTTTTAAATGCCCAGAAAAGCTAACTTCCAACTATCAGTCAAGAATTACCTCCAAATACTTGGTATCTGATCTCAGCTTTGTCTAATCACTTCAGGCTAATTCTTACTTCTGTTTTTCCTGTCCTGTTTAGGCCTGATTAACATTTTGAATGCAAATGCCCAAAAAGGAGGGGGGGGCTGTCTGATTATAACAATTTCCCTCCCGTTAGCAGCTCCAAAGCAAGCCCTTGGAAATCCCCCCAAGTTAAAACTTTCCTGTGTTAACCTGGCCCCAGCCTCTACAAGGACTGAACAGAAGTGATCCCAAAGTCCTTTCGGGTCTCACTTAAAAGGACTGCTATTAACCAAGGAAGTGACAATTTGGTGTAGTGGTTAAGGCACCAGGCTAGAAACTGGGAGACCATGAGTTCTACTCCTGCCTTAGGCACAAAGCCAGCTGGGTGACTTTGGGCCAGTCCCTCTCTCTCAGCCCTAGGAAGGAGGCAATGGCAAACCACTTCTGAAAAACCTTACCAAGAAAACTGCAGAGACTTGTCCAGGCAGTTGCCAGGAGTCAGCACTGATTTCAAGGCCTGCCGATCCATCCATCCATCCATCCACCCACCCACCCACGATGAGAAGCACCAAGGGCCTGACTTACCTTGCGAATATTACTAATGGGAATATCGGTAAAAACACCTGTGGGGACAGATGGAGCCACTGCTCGTGCAGCTGGAGGAGCTGGTACATCTGCTGCTCGGGCCTGTGGGAATACAAGCATGCCAATGAAGAAGCCAAAGGGCCGGCTGGCAGAATGGAGGGAGAGCTTGGGATGTTCCATGTTATTTGATTTTTTTTTATTTATTTATTTATTAAATTTTTCGCCCACCCATCTCCCCCCAATGTGGGAACTTGGGCCACTCACAACAAACGTTAAAAACATAAATATATATAAATACATAATTCAGGAGAGCTTTAAAGTTGTACCAAAGACCCCTTGCTGCTTCCTCACTCTCAAGTTTACAAGATGCTTCTAACTCTCCCCTCTGCTTCATCAAATCCCCTAAAGCCCATTCGTGCACTTGACAGCAGGTTTTCAGCAGAAGAAACTCAGTGCAGTTGAAAAAAAGCAGACAGACAGGAACTTGGGAGATTGGTGGAAGGGGGAGGCAAAAAAAGGCATCACAACTGGCGATGACAGTGAAAAAGCTGGCCTGATTTTTGCTCTAGCCAGATCTTGCCCTACAGCTTGCGGACCTTCACGTGTTCCCGCACCCTCTTGTAAAAAAGTAATGGAGATACAACAGGCAAATCCTTGGCAGATTTACTAGTATATAACTCCACCTGGCTCCATTTGGAAAGTCAGGCAAAAGATTGTGTCTGCATCATGTTCCTACTGAAGGTTCTCTGAAAGAACGCCAGCTCAAGACAGGAGGTGGCACCACTGCTGGATTCTCTCACATGCCCCAAGGATGAAGCTTCTCCAAATTAAATCCTAGCCCAGGTAACACTCTGCGGATAAGCTCCTGCTATACGCGGAGGTCGGTACAAACAATGGGCTACTCACTGGGGCAACTTTAGATGGCACAAATGAGTCAATGTCCTTCTTTGTGATCCGTCCATCTGGTCCCGTACCTGATGAGACGGGCAAGGAAAAACCTCTTACACAACAGGTAAGCGAACCATTTTAGAGGACGGCTGATGAGACCTCAGAAAAGACATCACTCACCTTTCACCTGTGACAGATCAATTCCTTTCTCTGCTGCTATTTTCTTTGCTAGAGGGCTCACTATTACTCTCCCTTTATGGGCAGGTGTCTTGACTGGAGGGGCCGCAGCCTGGGACGAAGCAGCTGCCACAGTCATCTTGGGAAAGGGAAAAAGGCAGAGTTCAGAAGATGGACCGTTTTGGAAATTCCCCACCATCCCAAAGTTTATTTGACTCTGCTGCACCATGAGCGTATGTCTGGGATCGAGCATTAGTCCTTTAGTCCAATATACGACAGCCTGTCAGAACTGTGTTCACACAAACATAGCCAGAACTCAGAATGCTAATGGGAGCAAGCCACAAAAGCCTGCTTATTCAGTCTAAATTCTCTAAAAGTGTCTCCGCCTCTCAACAAAAGCCTCAACACCCCCCTGCTATGAACATTTTTTTTGAGTGGATAGGTAGCTTTTTTATTTGGTAGCATTTAGAAAGATGATTTCTTTCTCTTTAGGAAGGAAAAGAAAGCATAGGAACAATCCTTGTAAGGATCTGCTCTGCACCAAGACTAGAGGCCACTTCCAGCTAAGAAAGCCTCTTGCACAAGAGGAACTGAAGCGGAAATCTCTTTGGGGCTCTGAGAAATCAACCTGGCATCCCCCACACTTTGCTTTCCCTCCCGATGTAGCCTTCTGGAGGTTGTCCGTACAGGGCTTGGTGGCAACGGAGGTGGCAACACAGGAGGCTTGATATCGGCCATCCCAGCATCTCTGTAGTCTGCGAAAGCAGGAATGTCAGATTCCTTCTCCACAATGATGCAGAGTGCGGTTCCCAAGGGGACATCTCTGGTGCCTTCGGGTATCAAGATCTTTGCTAAGTAACCTTCTTCTTGCACTTCAAAGCCTTAAAAGGAGAGAGAAATATGCAGTTTGGAGAGGAAAAGAACCGCTTAAACCAGTCTTAGAGATGGAGTAAGTCCGCTCTGCACCAACTCAGACATTCCAGAAAATATTATCATTGGCAAACTATCCTTTAAATTAGGAAATTTGGAGATGCCATCCACGAGGCAAACAATCTGGAATTCTTTTTTTTGGGGGGGGGGCAAATATCTAACCCTGTGAGGCAGGTGAGTAGTGTTTCAAATATCGCTATGGCAGTATTATCCAGTGCTGTGTTAGCTGATGTTGTAAGGATGAAAAAGGGGATCTTGTCCATGGTGTGTGCCCTTTACCCTCAAAAATTTGGTGGTCTAGGATGGAGAAATTCTTACCTATTGTTGCTTTGTCCGTCTCAATTTCAGCCAGTAAGTCTCCTTCACTCAGCTTTTCACCAACCTTCTTTTCCCACCTCTGAACGGTGCCCATTGTCATAGTAGGAGAGAGGGCAGGAAGAAGAATCTAGGAGAGTGGAAAGTGCAGCTGCTTTGTTGTTACATACTTTAAAAACCCAGCACTACTGCCCAATATCTGTCCTCCTTGCGTCTGTTAAAAAACAACAACTAAGAGATAAAATGTACTGCAGGCATTTAACTGAACAGGAAATTCCTCTGAAGACGAGAAACAGACATGAGCATCATGCAAGGGAACATTCTAATTATATAACCAACACAGCTGAATTCTGAGTTTCAGTTTTCATGGCAGGAATCAAAGAAATTCAATGGATATTGCTAGTTCCATCCAGGTTTGGACAGCAGCCTTTCATTATCTGTTTCCACCAGAGTCCATCAAAACAGCTCATTTGTTCCCCTGCTCCCACAGCAAATGCGGCTCATGGCTGGCACTGAGTCTGGAGCCTAGCTATGGGTCTAAAGCTAAAAGGGAAATTAAAAAAAAACAAACCACAAGGACAGTGGGAGAGAAAAGAATAAAAACTGGGATCTGCATCATACCTGCATATGGGGAGGGTAGGAGCTGCCCGGAGCTTGTGCAGATGGCTGAGTTGCTGGTGCTGGGGGAGCTGCTGGAGGAGGCAGAGGTGGTGCTGAGGCTGATGGGGCGGCAGCTGCTGAATCCAACGTATAATCCTTAAAGGCATCGATAAGTTCAGGCCTAAAAGAAGGAAGGGACCTTAAGCCAACGTAAAGGGGTGACATACCACTAACAACGTAACCAGGACCCCCCTCAAGCCTTAAACCTGGAAGATGGGAGGCAAGGACACATGAGGTCCAGGAAATGTTTTGCTGTTGAAAAAGAATATTAAATCAATAGAAAAATGGGCACCCTTAAAGGGAGAAGTTGCAGGGAGGTTATTCTAAACTGGAATAATTTAACAAAAATGCTACAGGAGGTAAAGAAAAATGAAAGGAGAAAAAAAAAGATATCGGAAACATTTGCACTTTGACTCACTTGTCCACAGTGATGCAGATTATGGATCCTATTGGAACATCCCGTGTTCCTTCAGGTACCAGTATCTTGGCCAGATAGCATTCTTCCAGGCTCTCAAACCCCACGGTTGCTTTGTCTGTCTCTACCTTTAAGACACACACAACAATTCCCTTGAATTATGTTTCACAACTCCACATTATAACCAAACCTGTCCAAGTCTAAGTCGAGTTCCCACTTCAGCCATAAACGGTAAGAAGAAAACATCAGGAAAGTGAAAAACAGGCTCTCCTCCACAACCAAAGGCCGATTCAGAGGCGCTCAGCAAAGCGGCATTAGCGATGCTCTCTCATTAAAAGGGTGCCAGGGCCAAGCTCCGGCCCCGCTCATCGGCTGGCTTGGAAGCTTCGGGCTCTGGGTCCCCACCTACCTCTGCGATCAGGTCTCCCTCGCTGATCTTGTCCCCTTCCTTCTTCTCCCAGCGGGCGATCGTCCCCATCTGCATCGTGGGGGAGAGGGCAGGCAGAGGCACCTAGGAGGGGGCAGCGAGGATCAGGCGCAGCCCTTCCCGGGGGGGCCGCGTCCCGCAAGAGCTTCGGCTCGAGTCTCCCTCCGAAGCAGCTGCGGCCCCCGGGGGGAAGAGCCCAGGCACGGAGACGCCCCTCCGCT